CAGTAAAACCAAAACCTGTGTCTGTTTTGTTGTTATTGTATAACTAAACTTGTTGAAGTTGCTGAAATGTTTCAAAGGCTTTTTCTGTATTGTTCACCATCTTGTTGTTATACATTTACTCCTCTTTCTCCAGTTTTTGATGTTGCATTAAAACATTAAGTGCTGGCTGGTTTAGTCAGAATTAGAGCTAGATTTTGGCTTGGATAGTAAATAACAAGTTTGCTGAGCATTCCTTTCTTGTGCTAATAAAGCTTTGTCAAAGTGGTTGAACTTTTTGAGGAAATGGCTTTATGCTGTTTTTTTAGAATTTTTAAACTTCTGCTTGCTGTGAACGTAGTAAAAACGAAGTGCATAAGAGATCAAATTATCTGAAAAAAGCGAAAGATTTTACTTTCTAAATTGTGGCCTGATACAGATGTTAAGTCGCGGTGGATGACTTCTCAGAATCGTGTCTCGTTGAACCATAAAACTGTGACTGGTGCGAAGATATATAAAAAAATTCTCTTTATTTGGTTTTCAAACGGGTGTTGCAAGAAACATTAAAGTAACGTTTTTATTTTCCAGGTTATCGTTGGTTAACACTAGATTTTTTTTTGTGTTTAAATGATACAACTTTAAAAGAATGCGAGACGCGATTGAAGCTTTTTTTGTTACAGTATATGTTTTAGTGCTTGTTTTTTAAAGCAGAATGATATCATGATTTTGTCTATTTTTGTTGATGATTTCCGAGGAAGACAGTGCTTTTTTATAACCGTTTAAAAATGTTTAACAGTAATTATTGTTTTAATTTAGTCGTTCATTGAGGGATTAGTAGTTAGTATTAAATATTCCGGGAATTGTATACTAGAGGTCTTCATGTAATAAGTTATAGAACTTGTCTTAGTTTCATCGTTTATTGAGGCGTTGATTATTGAAGCTTTTGCACAGGTCTAAGGTGCTGTAAGGAAGCATAGTTGATTTTCAGATTTACTACGCGATTTAATGCATTGCACTGAAGGCCTGTACATAACGAACATATCTCCGTTCAAGCCATCCTCATGTTCTTTCTGAAAGAGATCTTTGCCTAACTGTGCGGTTTTAATAGCACTTAGTCAGGACTGCTCAAATGTAATTTTTGATTGTTGTCTTGTTTATAACTATGGAAATGCATGTCCAGTTTCAGTGGTCATTTAGTGCTGGATGCGTTTATCCTTCCAAATGACTGCCTACAAAACATAAATCGCTAAGGACTGTTCTTCCTTTCTCAAAAAGATTTTTACTTCTTCATCAAGGCGCGATTGTTGTAAAATAAGAAATGCCTTTTTGAGGGCAACGGTATGAATTGGGTGTTTTTGATGAATTATTGAGGGAATTTTAGATTAGCAGTGTTAAGTAAACTCATTTTCAACAGTTTATCGTTTTTATCTGGACTACTATTGAAAATTACTACTTAATTTTTATTCTTTAAAAGAACGATGTCACTAAAGGCTTCTATTCTGTTAAAACAGTTTAGCTGCATAAAAGGTAGTGCTCAAATAGTGTTCTATAGACCTAGTTTTGCATGTAAGATTTTTCACGTTGAACTGGAACTGTTGCACAAGGGGCACTGCGACTATTCGTTTCTTATTTTTGTATCTATTCTTTCCGAAATGGAAAGGAGACACCAGGAGGTCGGACGTGACAATGGTAAACGTTGTTAAAAGAAATGAAGATTGCAGTGGGATATAACTGTAAATTTTCATACAATACTCCATAGTGAGTTTAACAACCTTATCTTAAATAACCCTTGTTTTTTTATCTTGCCGTTTCTGGGAAGGGCGATTCGTTTCCAAAACTTGTGGACCATTTTCGTGCAGGTGTTTGGTTCACCGAGAACTGAAAATGCCTCGCACATTTCTTAGGCAGTTAAGTCATCATTAGCTCCTTTGTGCACAAAAAGAGTACAGAAAGAAAATATTTTTTTGCTTTTACAGTAAGAAGCCTTCTAAGAAAAGTTCAAAAATTAAAGGGAAAACAGAGGTGATACAAAAAAAAAGGCGGCAAATTCTGCTGCAGTAGGAGCATCGTTCAGCAAATATCTCCTGAAGACAAAACTGTAAAGCAAACTAAGAAAATACTTCATTCTTTTTAGCATCCAGTTTAGCCAGTTTGGAGAAAGTTACTACAGTCTTACACCAACATTTCTGCAGGTTCACTTTGAGTGAAATAATCATTCTCAAAAACGTAAAGGCAGGGAGAACAAAAAAAAAATAGTGGGTACAAGTTCTTTAGAAAGGCAGTTTCAAAAACTCATCTAGGTTTCTTAAAAGAATTTTTTGAGTGTTTTAAACTTTTGGTGACGTCAAATCTCGTAGGCTTCTTTATTAACGGCTGATGAACTTAGTACGCGTGCTTTGGCACGCAGTTTGTATAAACGAGGAAGGTTTCAATGTTAAACTTTAACTTTTCCTGAGCTAGAAATTTTTCAGTTTCAGCTTTCCTTACTGCTGCCACCATTCTAACCTTGTCTTCGTGTTAACGCGTGGTGTGATAAACAGTGCAGGCATTCTTTAACTGAGAAATTAGGAAGTTGGAAGTTTCAAACGTATCCCCGTGCAATTCCTCTACTTACAGTTCTTAAGTATCTTGACCATTTTCTGGTACGGCCAAAAATACTTATGTGGTCAGTGTTTAGGTTGTGTATACAAAGGTTACTTATCCACCGTATAAGGTAACTAGTGAAGCCACTGGAAAACGCTTTCCGAAACACGATCATAAATTTGTTTGTCAAAAAGACCCATATTCGTTCTATCTATGATTTAGTACCGCTTTTTTATTTTTTAAAAGTTTCGTTTCCGTTGAACGTTTGCCACTAACTAAGTGATAAATGATGTCCGGTAAGGTCTTTGTGAACACACATGGCGAGCCTATAATGAAAAAGAAAACCTAAAAAATTTCTGCAGCAGTTTCACTTTTGAACACTATTGAGCTTCCTCGTACAGATCATATCGTGAGAAATCTTTTCAGTATTCGCATGAACGCTGTGGAGAGCCACTGGGACAAAGAAAACATAACAACGTCATGAATGGAACAAGTGAAGATTTTTTTGAGGCGTCAATACATGAGTGCTTTTCTCGAAAACTTCTCAACAACTTCTTGGGTCATCTCGCAGAGTGAACCATTGAATTTGATGTACATAACTAAACACACCGGCCACATGGTTGTTTTTGAGCGGACCGAGAAATGGCCAAGAATTGTGGGAACTGTGAGTATCGGAACTGCACTGGGGCGGGAAATGTGGGTTTGAACTTTTCAGATTCCTAGGTTCGCGGTTATAAAAAGGCTGCACTATCCTTTATGCCATTTACAAACATAAAAGCGGCGCTGTAATCGTAAAAGATTTAAGGTAACATTTTAGCATTAGGAAGTCAGCAAAATCTGCATAGACAAATTTAAAACTATCACAAATAAATAAGACAGTGCCGAGAACTCAAAAAAATGAAGTTGGGTTGATTGTTAGCTCAAACAGGCATGTTTGGCTGGGGGCACGATTAACTAATAACAACGTCGGATTGGTCGAAATTGCTATATATCTTCCTTATGCGATGGTTTTTCTAGAGAAGTCTTTGTTATTATAAAGTTTCAAAATTCCTAAAAAACGGGATAATGGAAATAAATGGCTCGTTGACAAAAATTTTAGAGTATTTGTTTTTTATAGCTGGATGTAATTTTTAAAAAAATTGCTCGCTGTCTTGATATCGTATGATTATTTCCATAACTAAGTAGCAAGAAATTCTGTCAAGTAGTCACTTAAGGCGGTGTTCGAAACTCAGTGAAGTTGTTGCTACTTAGCATTAAGCGTCAGTAATTTTTTACAACCTTTCTGTCGTTTGCCTCTGGAACTCTATCCACCATCTCCCAGCTGTTGTATCCTCATGTCTCAGCCGTTTGACGGCAAGAAGATTGTTTTCAGTTTCTTGGCCTTCAGGAAGAAAACTAACATTCTGTTTCAATGCTCTCTGGTATGGTAGAAAACCCGGGAAGCACCTTTTGTGTTTTTTGAGTAAATGGGAACTCCAAATGTAATGTAGGTAACACGTTTTTTACCTTGTAATTCCTATCTCTGCCTTTCTTTTTTATGGATTATATAAAGTCTAAGTGATTTTGCCTATCTGACACAGTGAAGATAGAGGCTAAAAGATATTAGGGCGTTTTGAGCTTAATGGTCGTAATACCAAATAGCTCACAAAAAAACATCTAGCTTTAAGTTGCAGGAAAGGTGCTTCCTACCTTGAACTTGTTTTCTTTTTGGTGGTCTCAGCAGTTCTTTCAATTCGGTTGAAATTATTGTGGCAAAAATAAGAACAGTGACTGGTTTCAAGATCATGAGGATGTGATTAATATTTGTTCTAAGAAAGTTTAAAGTTCTTGTAAAACAAGGTTTTAATTTCAATTCAGCTGTCACTTCCTCTATAAAATCCCATTCATGCAGGAATGTGCGATTCCTAGTCATTCGTGGTCAAGACACTGAATATTTTTATCTAATTTGGCGAGAAGAATTTTACGGTTGACATTAGCACTATCTAGCAAAAATTTCTTAGCGAAGACAAGCTTAGGATAATGAGTAACAACGTAAACCTGTTGACAATTACAGCCAACTCTTATTCAGTCATTTGTCTCCTTGTCTCTGCCAGCTATTCTGGGCCTTCAAGTGCCATAAACGTAGTTAGTTATTTAGTACTTGTCACCGACTATCGCAACGAGAATGGAAGAAGTAACAGCGCATCACTGCAAATGCGAGGGGTTAAAGAGAGGAGCCCTGCCAAACTCTGCCGGTAACTGTTAAACTTTCACCAATTCAAGGTCGTTTCTTTGTATCATTCGTCATTTAGTGTTCGTTGGTCATCCTCATGTTCATTAACCGCTCATTGAATGAATTTCACTGAACCATCACGGAGATGCGGTTTACGAGTTTTTTTGATAAGTGCTATTCAATTTTATTTTAAATTGTTTTTCTTCCTCATTGTTGTGGTTATTTTGTCATGGAGGCTTATAGTTCCTTTTTTATAGTTCGAAGAAAGACTTATGCGCTGGTAACAGTAGTTAGTTTGGTGGCAGCTACTTATATTTTTTGGCAAAAGCCGACCAGTTCTGCACCAGAATATAGGGACAATAAAAAGCTGGCACCTCAAAAAATAACTGCAACTTCTCGGTCTCGAATTTTTTCACTGTTTGGTTCGGTTTTTTTCCAAAATTTGATCAAATAAAACAGAGAAACTGTTTCAAAAACTTTATAACTTTAGATAATTGTATAAAAAATTACGAAAAAGAAAAAACAAGTTTTTTATTTAGTTAGATTTTGAATATAAGACGTTTAAATCATTCTTCATACAAGATAGTCCATACAGATGACTTATAACTTTCAGTTGATGATGTCATATTTGACCAACCTTGGCCATTAGCAGCTATTACAGTTGTAAACACCACGAGCTTCTTTACCAACGCCACTCAGAGATTTATTATCAGCGACTTCACCTACAGTCCAGGTCCTTCCTTAAAGCTTAGGAGCGTGATGTAAAACCTTTAAATCATTTCAAGGTGCAAAAATAAAAGCATTTAAAGGTTTGGGAAATCTAATGTTTCAATACGCTTCTTTGCGAGCCATAGCCTCAAGTCATGACGCTCAATTGGTACTTCCAGTAAGCTGTAAGTTAAGGAGAGCTTTTGCAGTTGATGCGATTTTTGCATCTGACGAAATTGTGGAAACCCTTCTGAAGGCATTCGCAAGGCACAAAATAGATTTCCAAGTAACCTTTACTTACTCGATGTCTACTTTTGGTAAACTTGCTTGTTTTCTTAAAGTTTTATGGTATAAAAGTGAGATTTCTTTACCTTTTGGAAATCTGCTTCTTTGTAACCGTCAAACAGCCCTTCTAGCAGAAAAGAATCATTTTTCTATTATAATACAGTAATAAAAAAGTTATATTTAAATGAATAATTAAATCCTTGCCGATTTATTTGTTGAATCGCATTGCAGATATGTTGTAAATACTATTCCAGTTCATCTTACCATCTGTTTAGTTCAGCAGAACGAAACATAGAGTTTTTGACTGGTTATTTTCAATCGTTTCGCTATTTTCATCCACACCAGGTGAGCTGCCAAATTTCAATTATTTCGGGATCATCTGCTGCCTATCAAACTTTTGAGATTCGAGTGCCAGCATTTAGGAAGCACTGATACGCAAGGAATTCCATTTTCTTCCCGAAATAATGGCTGAAGCAACATCGCTGGTGCGGAAAGCCCGAATTGAACGAGCACTGGCAGAGTCGACTGTCAGGCTACAAGGAGAATTGAATGACCAAGTTGTCGTTTTAGGCGACTACAATGGTTTCACCGATTTTTTCTTGTGGTCTTTCATTAACTGTGCATAGTAAAGGCAAACTGTTATTACATTAATCGCTTGACGGGGGAGTTATGTACCAAACTGTTAACTTGTTAAATTTACTTTTGAGTTTTTCTTCAATTTTTCTTCACTTCAATTTTTTTTCAAAGCTATCGGTAGTTGGTTTTTATACAACCACATAATTATAATCAGCTCACTGTGCGGCCGTAGCGACTGTGAAGCCCTTGACCACTATTTCAGTCGTCCACTGAGATGACAACTCACTCGTTGTTTTTCAGAAGGGCTGGCACTGCATCGTCTGGTCCTTCAAACTGAAATACCTCCTTAAATCCTGTTAACCTATGCATGACAAAAAAGTGAAAAAAAAAAAGAAAGCCGAAAAGTAACCAAGCGGAGTGGTGTTTTAAGATTAAAGTGATGTTTTGCGCATTCTTCTGCACTTCAATGTCGTCAAGCATCATCTTCCACAAGTGTAGCTACGTCTTCCAGCGGACTTTTACCACCTTTTATACGGTAGAAAACAGCAGTAAACTACTGATTAAGCTTTTATTGAGTTAAAAAATTTTGGTGCTCTGGTATTGTGAAGGGACAAGGAAGTATTTGAATAAAATTTGAGTACTTCCTTGTCTTTCTTTACGCTTGTGATCGTCACATGTAGCTTTAGGCAACTTAATTTCAAACTGAAGTAGGATGAAAAGGAAAATTGTGAGGTGGAAAAGTAAAGAGCAAGATAAAGTAAGCTGAACAATTAGTAATTTTGTCAAATAAGTAAAAAAGTATCTAATATGAACATAATTTGCTTAATTACTAGGGTTTCAAGTGTCAAGTCATTTGGACAAAATAAAAAACATGATTTGTGGGAGAACTGTTTATTTATGTAAACTTTAATACTGGATTGCAGAGATGGCTACTACTTTTGTGGGGGTGCATGTCCGGAAAGGTGTGGATGTTACAATGAATGCCAAAAATCTCGTTCATGGTCATACAAGCGCTACGAAAGAATATTTTCTGTTAACTATGGAGTACTTCAGGTAATGAAATGATGCTATTCATCTGCTTTCCCCTTTTCTATCTCCTTTTTAGCTTCGTAACCATATACAGCGCGGCTTAACAATGTTTATAAAATGTAGCATATGGGTAGTTTTCCTTACAATAATCACCAGTGATTACAGGAAAAAATATAAGAATGTGCTTTTCCTTATAGCTACAGACAATCCAAGATGGACAAAGAGGTACATCAAAGCAAGAACAAAAGGCAAGAATTTGGTGCAACGCAGAAATAGAATTTTATTTGTAGGATTTGTGTAATGGCACTATTCGGTTTTAGGTGAAATTTATATCTTAAATTCACGTAAACGAGAGGTAGACCTAGCTGTGCTGGCTCTTTGTAACTACACAATTATGAGCACCGGCACTTTTTCGTGGTGGGCAGCTTACTTGGCGAAAGGCGATGATGTTGTGTACTTTGCAGACTGGCCCTTGAAAAACTCTGTCTTGGACTTAATGGTTGAAAAATCGGATTTTTTTTTGCCTAATTGGCATTCGATGCCGTAGTTTGACTATGGCCATTAGTGTAATATTAGTTTACTAGTAGTAATGTTCATGTTTGTTTATTGCAATATTGGTGCTTGAAGCTTTTATTTTTGAGATGTCTTGTAATTAAAGAAAACAAACGGGTTAATAGAGTATGATAAAGCAGCAAGATGTTGTTTAACATAAACCTACTCTACTAAAGCAAGATAAGCTTCACTTTACAAATTTATCTTGTTTTTTGAACTTTTCAGATTCCACTTCGTTAGTTTCTGTTTGTTATCTGCAGATATTAACTTAAATTCATGACTGACAGAGCGACTGAGATCCACTTGACCTGTTTATCGTGACGCAAAAAGTGTAACATGATAGAGGATAATGGGCGACTTAACATAGAGTCGTCAATTATTTTTTTGATTGGTACGTCATACCCTTTTCAAGTTTTATTACGCAGCAGAATTTAGAACCAGATCGACGAAAGCGAGAAAAGAACCTTAGAAAATTGATTCCAGCCAGATTGAATATTGTCGAGGCGTGAAAGCTTTTCAAGTTTTTGTGCGGCCACGTTAACCTTGAGAACAGCAACTTTATTACTTTGAAAAGTATTGTAACCTTGTAAACAGCGTCCAAGAGCTAACTTCCAGGAGCAGAACAGAGATTATGCTCTATAAAATTTATTTGCTTTTACGCGTTCAATTGCGATACCGCTTTCGGAGAGAGCAAACCGTGAAGAAATGCCCACTGTTTGAACTAAACTGATTAGAATGAATTTTTTTTACAAAAGGACTTTTAAAGCACTTGCAGGTTGACGGCCCCATATACATATTTGAGGCTCCGCCTGAAATGGATATATTGCGCCGTCAATCAAGAGCTCGAGGCCCCTCCGCTAAAGCGATTTTGGTGTCGTCGTCATGAAGCAGTCGAGGAGACATGTCGATCGTGTCAACCTCGACTGAAGACTAAGATGTCCCTTTTTGGGGCTAGAAAGATGTGTTTACCAGTTGCATATTTGTAGACAATTGTGAGGCATTATGGACGGGTTTGACCTTTTGTAGAAACATGAATGGGAAAAGGTTGCTGAGAAGTGTGGAACAGCGGTATAAGGTGGTCAAAGCGATGATTTCACGTCAGTGGTACAAAAAGTGTTTAATTACGCAAGTCTGAGATAAGCTGTGCAGTGATGGCAATAGTGAGAAATAATGGACGGGTTCGATCTTTTATAGCAACGTAAAGGGGAGACTCAAGAATAATGTCATAATGTGGAGGAAAGCGAGTTTGTGTAGCCTCACAAAAAGCAGTTGGTGCGAGGTGCAGTAGTTTATGCTGTGGTACGTTGAGCAAACGCTGGTGGGTCAATCCCGTCAGGTACAAAGTTTATTTGGCCTGTAGCTAAGCATTTGTATTGATGTTACATTTATATTTTCGTTCGCTTTTCTCTCAGGTCCGAAGACCTGAGAGGAAAGCTGCATTAGCGCCTCTCATACAGAAGGCTTTCCAAAATTGGACTGTCATAAAGCAAAGTGATCAGCAGCTGATGAGCAGAGTCTAAACTTTCAAACGGAACCTTGAGGCAGTGGACAGTGTTCCGCTATTTGCGATCAAAGGTAGTACAGCTCATTGTCCCCATTTATCTTCTCCCATACGAATTCGTCCATATACGAATTCAGAAGTGCCGTTTTTGTCCCATACCATGATTCATGCTCCTCCTTGAACTTTTTTCAGAGAAACTTAATGACGTTCGTGCAAGCGGTCTCAAGATCAGTGAAGTACAGATTGTGGTTAACAGTCTCATCCTGATACCGTCCTGGCATATCTTTGGTGATTGCTGTTACACGAGCGTTTCAAGGTATGTATAAACAGCAGTAGAAGCTGCAACAGTACTACACTGTAAGTGTCCCAACTACCAACAGCAAACTTAACTGGGAAGATGTTGCCAACTCCTCTAATATGTTCCTGAGAAAACCCAACTTCTATAGTTTCCTACTGTAGGCAGTTGTAGTTACCAACGCCTACAGTGCCAACCTAATTTTAGAGAACTATATGTTGAATGTACGAATGTTGGTTTCGCGATGTTTACACTGAAATTTTATACGACTCTTTATTGCTCAAATCCGTAGAGTATGTTACAACCCAAAGAATATTTGAGGTATTTAGACTGACAATAATAGTAAGACGCTTCTAACACAGGACATGCGCCTTAACTAATGAGATACAATGTAAAAGAGTTATATTATTTTATAAGTTATAAAGAACCAGTTAACTAACAAATCAAAATGTAAAAAACAATAAACTTGAAATGAAGAAACAAATAACTGCCAATAGACACGATATACAAAACTTAAAATGTAGCCAAAGTTATTGGAAGTTAGACGATAGCACCAATCAACTGTTCCGATACTTGGTTCAGCAAGACTTGACTCTTAACTGTTGCCTTCGCTTAAATACCTTTTCAGATAGTAGCGACCTACTGTCTACCCTCCGGAAGCTTCCCTTCAAGGATAGTTCAAAGGCCACTATAATGCTTGGGGTGGCCTTTCGCGTGCTGTCGCGACAGTAACGTTTGCGAATTCGGAACCAGACGTGGTGGCAAGAACTCATTCGCCACCACTGCGCTACAGTGCTCTAACCGTAAGGACATTTTAATATATATATATATAT